CCCGCCACTTTCTTCTTTGTAAGACAATAGCCAATTTATTGGGTTTGAGAAAAGAGCAAAGATCTTGAGGATTTCAAAATCTATCAATTTTGTGAGGATTAGAAGCTAGCTAAAAGACAGACATCTAATTTATTGCATTACTGAGAAAGACTGCAGTATGAACTTAGTCACATTAGTCAACAAGGAGCAGCATAAGATAAAAGCCTTTAAAAATTCAGCTGTTTGCGGAACTAGGAAGGAATTTACACTACAAGGCAGGAATTTATACTACGATAATCTGTTAGCTCTTTGAATTAAAGGCTATCAACGTGTCATTAGAAATAAATCTTACCCTACATAAAAGATGTTAAGACAGCAACCATCATTTGGGTGAATACTTCTGATAAAACTATTTAAAAGAAGATTCACATATAAAATTTTCAAAATGTTCAGAACTATTCTTAAGCTTTTATATTTTATACAGTGTAACTATAAGGAATACCCTTTACCAGCATCGTTTCCTTTAGCAATTTAACTAATAGTTACACTAGCTGAATATTCATGTTTATGTCACTGCTCCTCTCACTCCTTCAATTTTTGCATTTTCAGCCTTAGAATGTGCTCTCTATACAAAAACTCCTAAACCTCAGAGCAGTAGTTCAGATTGCTGCATAGAGAATTTGATAATTAAATCTTAAAAATAAGTTAAATCTGCAGAAAACTTGCATTCATAATTTAGTGGTCAATTTTAACACGAATATACAAAAAAGCACTGTTTTCTGGTATGAGAACTTCATCATTAAGATACAACAAGTTAAAACATTTAAAAATTAATTTAATTTCTCACTTACACAGAAGATTTCCCGGTACGAGGATCATTGAAGGTGGTGGTTCTCATATTATGATCAACAAAGTATCTGACACCTTCTCTAGTGTATCTGATTTCCCAGCCCTCTGGAAGAGGGTCCTCATTTTGTAAACTGCAGAAGAAATTGCAGATAGTACTTTTTCCCCCCACATCATGAAGCTTAACATAGTAATTAGGAAAGCTTTGTTTATTTGCACAGTCAATATACACACCTACCCTTGGGTTCGAGGGTCTTCCCACTGTGTTGTCTTTGTGTTATGATTTACAAAATACACCCTATCATTTGAATCCACTCTTCTTTCTAGGGTAAAGAGAGAAAAAACAAAACTATACAACAATTGCATTCCAAATTCTGTAATTGCTGCTTCCTGAAATCAACAGCTGATTAACTTACCCCAACCTGGAGGTAAAGGCCCAAGTGGATCATTTTCTGCTGACAACATTGAAGCCTATTTATAAACAAAATGTCACTCAGTTAGGTCAAATAGTATTCAAATTTCTTTTTCTTAATGTATTTTAAAATTACAGCTAGTTCTGCATATTATCCACTCTGTAAAATCATCATGCCATTTTTAGTCTTTTTTCACAGAGAAACACAGAATATACAGGGACAGTCTTGATTTGAATGCGTCCAGTGAATGTTTCCAATCTCCTGTTCCCTCCTTTCCCCTCTCAGCAAATCTGACAGACAGACAGGTGTCTCGAAGATGCAAAGCTCACAAAAGTTTTGTGGAAATATGTATCACAGAAGATATAAGCAGACTTGTTCTTTCTTGATTTAAGAACATGCTTTTTCTTAAGCACAATCTTACAAAATGCAGTTTTACAAAATGCAGTAAGAAAGAGATGTTATAAGAGTAAGAGATGTTATGAGAATGTTATAAGATCCAAAGATCTCAAACACACTTGGAGTTTACAAATGGCAATTTTTTTCAAGGTAAGCTACAGGTATTTTCCCTGTTTTCTTCTGAAAGAAGAATAGAACAAGGATACAAAGAAAAAGTAATTCATTTGAATTTAACCACTAACTTTCCTTTTCTGTCTATCAGTTGCTAGCTGCAAATATAAAACTATCATACTTCAGCAGCAGATAAAGTTAGCTTTTCCTGCTCTTAGAAGCTACACAATCACAGTCATCTATAGCCAAAGACTTTATGTTAAAGATAAAAAGAAGTTTCTCAAGAATACTTAAAATAATGAGTCTTAAGAAAAAAAACAGAAGAACTGAGTGGTGGTATCATCCAGATATTTCTAATCATCTTAGTCAGTTCCAAGAATTGTGTCAATGCTAGAAGGTGGCACCTGATGGGCTGGATGCAGTATCAAAAGGAGCACCCTGTATTAACCGTCATGGATTCATGGATACCATCACCCTGTTTCTGGTACCTTACATGTCTCACAGCTAATTGAGCTAGGCCTAGATGATATCCCTATGCGCAGCATTAAGAAATTCAAGATGCCAAAACACTAAATGTGCAGTATCTATTTTTTACTTAGTTATTAAGGCCCATCCTTAGAAAATATTTAACAACTTTCAAAGAGAGCCCTACATATTAGCAAGCTTTGAGTTTTCAAACTGATGTGAAGTAACTATCTGTAGGATAAACAAGGCTGTTCCAGCTAGTTCATTACTGCTTTTTCAAGCAGTAAACTTTACCAAACCAACAAATCATGTTTGAACTTCTTAAAAATACGCATGAAACAGTATGTCTAAGAGGACAGTTAAAGTTAAATTACTTTTTTTAATCTATTCTGAATAAGTA